TATATATTATATATATATAATATATATACATATATATATATAATATATATATATATATATATATAACATATATATATAACTATATTATTTACATATATAACATATAGTATACAATATACATATATTATCATTCATACATATTTAACCATATATATATCATTATATTATTTATTATATATATATATTATATATTATATATACTATATATATTATATATATAAATATAACATATTTATATATATATATATAATAACGTATATACATATACTATATATATATATATATATATATATATTATATATATATATTTATAATATATAGTATAATCATATATAATACTAATAATTATTAATATCATAATAATATTATATATATAATATGATATTATATTAATATATATTATAATATATTAATTATATTATATTATATTTATATATATATATATTATATCATATAATATATAATATATAATATATATATATATATCTAGATATATATATATACAATATAATCTATATATAAATATATATATTATATATATTATATATTAAATATATATATATTTATATATTATATATTATTTATATTTATATTTATATATATATATATATATATATTTATATTTATTTTTATATATTATATTATATATATACATACTATTATAATATATTATATATATCTATATATATATATTATTATATATATAAATTATATATTATCTTATATATATATATTATATCATATCTTGATTATACATTATATATATAATATTTATAAATTATATATATTATAATATTTACTATATATAATTATAAATTATTATATAATATATATAATATATATATAATATATATATATTATATATATATATATTATATAATATATATATATATATAATATAAATATAATATATACTTATAATATATATAATATAATATATAATATATTATAATATTATATATAATATTATATTAATATATATATATATATATTATATATATATATATTTAACATTAATATATCTATATTATAGTATATACTATATATATATATATATATATAATTAATATTATATATTAATATAATTATATATATACATATATCATGTGTCACATATGTGTGTAGAATGTGTACTCATATGAAAAGAGATCATGTCAGAGAAATTATTTTTAAACAAGCCTTCAGAATCTTTGTCATGCACTATACACTTACCTCTCTCTAAATGTGGTAGGTTTTAAATAAGTCTCTGTGGGTTTATATGAAAACCCCTCTTTACAGCCTGGCTGCAGAGTGAAAATTGGCAAATGGAAAATGTTGACATGCACAACCTTAAGTGAAATGGCTAACTGAAATTTTTAGCTAAAAATTACCAGTCAAAATATAATGTCTTTTGAATGAAACTATTAGATGTGCTGTAGCACATACTATGTGTCTCGCGGGATATTAAATAACTTAAACATGATTTCTGACTCATAATTCCTGATTTCTTCTATCAGAAGTCAAATTTTAAAGGAAGCTGCAAGAAAACTTATGGTTTATAAAATAAATTCCTAATCAACAGCACTAACAAAGATTACAACCAATAAAAACATATATGGAAATTTGATGGTGTTTGCACTATAAATAAGGGGAAATAATATGAAGGCATATTTTGCACTGCACTGTTACGTCAAGTGTCAATCTTGTTTGACTTAGACTTTGCCCTTTACAAGCCTTCATTACTATATTTCTTCCTCGTCAGCCAGTAATTTTACTAGATAAATTAATAATTTATTAGCAAACCATCACAGAGCACATATACATTATAACAAATTGAACTATTTTAACAAACTGTGTTTCCTTCTTAGGCTTTATTTCTAACATTACTTTGCTTTTTCCCCAATTAATTATGAATTAAAATCCTTTCCCTCTTGCAGATAATCAACAACAAAAAATTGAATACTGCCCTGAAAATAACTTAATAAGTGCATGTGCTACAATATCTTATATCAACCATTCTCTATGTTCATGATAAATTTATCTATTAAATATTCTCCTCTTACCTACCCTCTGTAACATCTCTCTGGACAACTGTTCATATCTAGAAGGTCAACTATAACTTTTTTTCTTCATCAAAATGTATTCAAACCAATCTTGTGTGACCATGACTCAAAAAAAGAAAAGAAAGTATTCCCATTCTCTCATACAAAGAAGTGCCATTAAATCTGAAAACACAAATTCAAATTGTTATTTTTTCTTTGGGTTAAACAGTTGGCTGAAGTAAATCTTACCAAGTTAGCTCAAATTTTGGCTGCTCTATTTTTAATAAGATAGTGGTATGGTAAAAATCAAAGATGTGATTTTCTGTCACAGTGTTGCATTCTATTATATGTTTCAATCTTGCACTTCAGGGTATATACTACTAGGACTGCTACATAAGGATGCCCTTAAAAAAAATCCTCATAAAACCATAGCATAACTTTAAATACAAATACCACTTTGGATTATTACTTTAACATCTCAGAATATCCACTTTTCCCCTTGTAAAACATGTTGATGCACTGTGAATTAGTATATTTGATGTGACTGAGATCAATGAATCTATGTACACCATTTGTGGCACACTGACATGATATAATGACAAAATTATATAATATTTGGAGGGTAATGCAAAGATTCTAAATAATCTCACTGGGAAAAAGATTGAGAAATGTACATGAGCAAAATCTCCATTTGTTCATAGCCTCAAACTCTAAGCAATAATACTCAAACAAGTCTGTCTTATTCATGGATTTGTATACTAACAAATTTCCAATAAGTAATTTACTCAAATATTTCTATACAAAGTTTTGTACCTAAACATGTGTTTTGCATTTCAAATATACAGTATATATATAAAATTTCAGAAAATAAATATTTTGTGAGGAAGAGAGGGAGATTTGAATATGGCATGACATTAAAATTTAAAACAAAGTAGTAGTAATAATAATAATAAAATACCAGAATCACTCATAAGAGAAGAAGGGGGAGGAATTAATGATGGCAGTAAAAATACAAAAGTAATGGTACCAAGAATGCTATTTTCATACGGTGCTTAATATGAATATGAATTCAGTCATGCTGTCACCTCAAACTATTCAAAGTGGGAGAAGCTATCATGGATATGCTTCGATATACTGAGTGAATGCTTGCACTACTTTTACTGGTACTTATAGGCCAATTTCTCAGCTTGGCTCTGTGCTCCTATAGATTTTAGGAGATCACAAACTTCTTTCACAGCAGGGGAGTGGGCGGTTTGAAGTTTTTCAGCAAGTTTTACTAAGAAGTCTTCAAGGCGGCCAAGGAAGGCATGAGTTCCCTCACTCTTCACCCAGGCACGGGGTAATGCATTTATTACCTGATGGAAAGATTAGGTAAAGGTTAAAATTCAGAAATGTTTTCCCAAGTATAGAAATTTTCTGAGGATCAGCAATCAAACCATAAAATCTTTATGAAACTCTTATTTCCATAACCTCAACAATTGCTAACAATGACAGTCAAATAATTTATTTGAGAGTATACAGTACTCACATTTCTACATTTATCAAGGGCATCGGATGGATTTATCTCAGCTGCCAGGTTGAGAGCTGGTAGTAGGTACAGATTGAGGAGAGAGCGAACAGCCAAGTCATGGATTACAGAGTCACTCAGCACCTTGTGCCACATAAGCGTAGAGCTGAGAAGCTTCCATGCAAGCCAAAACTGCCGCTGGAAGAACAAGCTTACCCCAGAGTTCTTGTTGTCATAAACACTGTTGAGAAATAAGGGTATCAGATTTATCAGTTACTTTGCCCATCATCCATGTTTGCATAAGAACACTACAACAACAGTTACCTTTATTTCATTTACCACTATCTTAAATAGTTTTATAAAAACTGTAACACATATCAAGTTTTATACAAAACTGAACCTCATATCAAATCTATATAAAAATGTAGTTTCATAATATCTAACACAAGAGGACTTATATCTTTACATACAATATATCATGGCATGTGGGGGGAGAAGAAAATAAAAATAATATGAAATAAAATATTGCTCACTTTTTAGGAAACATTGGGATGAATATATCATTGTCAATGGCATCCTTAATCTTCGCAATAATGGCATGAGTCATTTCCTTGAGGGGTTTTGAGCTTGGGCCAAGGCTAGGATAAGCTTCAGCATAGTGTCTCACTAAGTTCACCAGCCTCACTGTCTGCACATGGGACAAGGGATCCCACCAACAGCCAATTATTTCTGAAATGATCAGAGACAATTACCATCACCTATTCCTTGTTCTAACCATTTGCTCTAGACCTGGAACTTTTCAGTTAGGCAGACAAAAACAAAATCATTGCCTTACATAAACTACTTTGCACAAGCCAATAAACCAAACCCAAGGGTAATTAACAAACCTTTTAGTTTAACTAGAACAATTTTTTCCACCAGATGGGACATGAGCTTGCGGTCTGGATCTTCCCTGAGTCTTCTGGGATCATCATCTGTAACATCATCTGTTCCATATAGCAGCAGCAGATTAAACCACTTCATTCTTTCTATCTCTAAACCATCGGTATCTTTCATTAAAGGATTCCACAATAGCATCTGCAATCTGGAACAGCACACAAAAAGACTTGTCAGTTTATTCTAAGGGTATTTATATTTATTTCAAGGGTATTCATCAAAAGTTAACCTAATAGATCAATGACATGAATGGTGATATTGCCATCAATATGTGATTTGATTAAAAAAAAGGCCTCGAAAAGTGCAAAATAAATGGGTTGATCAGAGACCACAATGGAAAGACTCACCTTATATAAGGAGCAAATATTTTTGGTAAGTTATATGATACATAAGCATCAGAATAAGTAGGGGAATCTTTCTTTCTCCACTCCTCAAATCTGGCCATTATACGTTTTAACTGTGAAAAATCTTCTTCTACATCCTCGTAAATCTTCCTTGCTTCTGCTGCTATATGTTCTGAAGTAAATAAAATTGGATCAGTTCATTTTTCAAATTGAAAACACTAAACACAGCTACAATAACATAAATAATCAAACTGTTTACTTATTCATAAACACTGTGATAAATACAATATACGATTAATATACAATGAATTCAATCAAATTTTCAACTATTAATGTTGTAATGAATACTATTAATTGCTGTGATGTACACTGATAAATGTTGAGATAAATACTAACAAATGTAGCACTGAATAGTAACAAAGTTCTAATAAATACTACTGAATGTTGTCACATTGACATTTTTTTTTTTTAATAAATACTTGGCTCATCATCAAAATAACATTATACCTAATTCAGTCTGCATCATCTGTATCTCAGACTGGGACTCTTCATCATCGGTTGACATCCCATCATGGTGATTTATGTCTCCTTTCTTCTCCCGTTCTCTTCGTCTGCGTGTTCTGCGGCCTTCACGTTCTGCTGCCCGTCTTGTTCGGTATTCATCAGCTGTTGCACCTTTACCTAGATAATCATTGAGCTCAATATATTATCACATCTTTTCTCTTCCCTAGTTTGTAGAAATCAAACATAGATTTCTTTTAGAAATATATTTGAAGATACTTTTGACATTCAAGCTGATAGAAAAACCTTTAGTGTGTTTAATAGATATATAATCAACCAAGCAATTGAAACTCTGATAATAATGCACAGTCTAGCTATTTCATGTAAAGTTTGAGTGGATCTTTAAACAAAAGTTTGCAGAATATTTAGTATCAATTGGTTATTGCCGATTTATATTATCTTTTAACTGGAATTTGTAAAAAAAAATCATAAAACAAAACTACAACAAACATTATACTGGCACTGGGTTAAGTTTTATGCCTATTTTTGAGGACTGTATCCAATTAACCCATTGGATCTAGGTGACACGACCATCACTAAAAATATGGATGAGGGCCGGGTGACAGATTTTGCAGTCATGAAATTTTTTTGCAGAGGGCCAGTGACTGGCTTGCGCTGTCATAAAAAATTTGGCTGAAGGCCAGGGTGATCGGAATGACTCGCCATAAGTGCACAAAGCTTTTAGAGGCAGATTAGACTCCGTAAACATTTACAAAAGGGCTCTTGTATTATGTCCACCAGTAAATGAGCATGGAATGTATACACAATCTGTGAGCCATTACTGGTAGTGCTCCAGCTCCCACGAGGACACTTTGTCCATTTGCAGGATACTATTCCTGCCCAGTGTGACCAGTGCCATAGGGTGGTATTAAGATAATGAATTAATAAGTGTTAGTAGTTGATATATATATAGGTGATAGTTAATAATATAAGGGTTGATAGTAGTAGTATGTATGAGTAAGGGTATAGGTATAGTATTATGAGGGTAATATATTTTATATTATATATTATATTATATTTATATATATATTATGATGGGTGGATAGTATGATAATATATATGTAGTATAGTGATATATGGTAGAAGATGAGACAAACACAAAAATGGTTTTATTGGTTATTGGGGGTTATATTTCAGCAGGTGTAGAGACTACAGTAGGAGATGGATATAAGTTGCTAGATATTCAATCTGAATACGCGGGGGACATACTACATGACTAACTTAGACTTGAATAATATTGTATTGTCCTATTGTGTCTATTATTTTTTCGCATTAGCGGGGATGGTGTCCCATATGAGAGACGGCCTGAAAATAGAAGGTAAAACCATTGCTGGCGTTCCGCGCGTCTGAGTTGCCGCGATTTTGTAGCCGCGCGGTGTAATTTTATTTTGGGGTTCAAAATATACTGTGGGCGTGAGATTTGGTATATAATAAAGAAGAAAAATAATAAAAATAATATATTGGAACTTTCGTTGTTCTGAAAGCTGTACAATTTCTGCAGCTATATTGGGGATGAACTTGTATTCTGGTTAATTTTGATACGGAGATGTTAAAAAATATAGTGTATATTCTATTTTTTTCACTTTTTGCTAAGATCTAAAAGAATCACGAGGCTGGTTCTTTAGATGTGTGTCAGTTATTTAAACACTTTTGTTGCTTCAAGGAGTGAAGTTTCTAGATCTGTGCTAGTTAATCATGGTATTATTCGCTGGCATGTTGGGTTTGTCATGCTGATGCTGTTACTGCTGGAAATTTATGGTGGTATCTGTTCGAAATTGCTTATTAATATTTTTGAATTTGATATCTTCGTATATATAGTAGTATAGTGTATTGATTTAAGTATATATAGTATTATGTAGAGTGATAGTAGTGTATAGGGTGATATAGGGTATTTTAGCATATAGTATGAGGGTATGTGTAGGATATGAGGTTAGGTATTAGTTAGTAGGGTTAGAGGTAGTAGTGGACTAGTTATACAGTATAGTAGTATATATGATGAGCATATATTAGGATTATGAGTGATATGATAGTATGGTAAGGTATATATATGTTAGGTAGTATGTTATATATATATAATTATACATATATTGTATTAGGTATAGTATATCATTACATATATAGTAGGAGTATATATTATATATATATATGAGTATATATTATGTAGGTTATATAGTAGTATATATATAGTTAGGTGTTAGGAGTAGGGTATAGTATCATACAGGATAGTATTATTTATATTTACAGGTATGGATATATATATAGCTATATATAGTATGAGTGAGCATATATATTATGTAGCATATATTATATATATAGAGGTATGATATAGTATATTATATTAGTATTATATATATGGTAGGATGTGTGTATTATAATTACATACTACATACATATGGGTATGTATGGTATTGCATATGATGGATATAGTATATAGGTATATTATTATATACTATATATATATATATATATATGTGGGATAGTAGTGAGGTTTGTATACATATCTACATGCGTAATGAGCAGTGAGATGTACGATATCGATATAGTAGGTGATTGGTATTTGATACATATATATATATTATTGTGTAGCATATACATATATATATACATATGATTATCATATGTATATACATATGTATTAAATATATATAGTCATATATTTATAATAATATATATAATGTGTACATGATGGGGTATTTAATATATACATATATTATTTAGGGCATATGGTAGATAGTATATAGAGGTAGATAGTAGCATATATATAGATAGTATATGGTTATTTTTGTATTTATGGGTATATAATCTTTAGTCTAGAGCTATTTATTATATCCATATATTATTTTATGGTACAATATTCTTATTAGTTTCCAGTGTAATTTTTGGATATAACTTAGTAGGGCCTGATTTTCCCTAACACTAATTTGCAGGGGGATATTATTTAGGATATATTCGCGATTTTTGGGCTACATATGGCTCATAGGGGTATGTTTGCAAGGGACTTGATGATATTGGTGTGTTTTGTGGGTCCTTTCGAAATACAGATTAACTTATTCTGTTACGCGCCATAGTGTATGAGTGATTCGAGGTGTTATAATAACATATTTTTTCTATTTATGATTAGGTTCGTGAGGTGGAGTTTCATGGGATAGTCGCGCAAAAGAGACTGAGAGATTAAATAAAAAAGGTTTATATTATGATGGATGAAGTGCTGTTAAGTGCTGTATAGTATTTGTCATCATGCCTTACCATGACATGATTTATTCTTAATGCCTATTACATTCCTATTATTTTTTTTATATGGATGGATTTAAAAGGAAGAAAAGATAACAATTGGCATATTTTCTGGGTCCCTTCCAAGGCCTATTGTTGAAAATCAATAGTGTCAATATGAGATGGTAATCGTCAAAAATTTTAACTGAGCTGACTTTCTGCAACATAGTTAGCTGCAACGGCATATCCAAGATTCCTTCTCTGTTAGGCTTAATTGCTATCCTTGTGTGCAGTGTAGCTATCTTTGGTTCCAAGTGCCGCCTACTACGTAGCCTGGCCCTAGACTCATCTACCCCATTTTGCTGACGTCTATTAGTAGCTGAATTAGTAATGATACACTCTACGTTAGGAAGAGGCAGGGCTCATGTCTACTCCATGCCATGTACCATCTGCAAGTTAGTCAGTTTGCTGGGGCCCTTAAATAGGTAACTGGCCTTACTCACCTATGTTGCTACATACCGTTCCATAGCTATAGTTGTTTGATGACCTTCATTTGGGTAGATGGTCTTTTCCGAATATATTTTCCGGCCATGCAGTATAAACAGTTAACCTATTGAATCCAGGTATTTTGCAGCTCATGGATAGCCCAAAATCTGGACATTAGGTTTCCTTGAGTGACAATTCTCTAAGGTGTGTGGCTTGTAAGCCTGCCCCACAAATACACACTTAGCATCAAGACTCCTTGCCTCCTATTTATAATACTATAAGCTTTTTTCTGTAGATATATTTAGACTGTCTAATAACAGTAAGAATAATTAACTTAGTGTTATCTGTTATTCAAAAAATATTTTTTCACTTTTCAAATTTACATAACATCCTGCACAAGCTGGGCAGCAACAGGAAATGGTGTCCTCCCCGAGGATGGCCCTCTCCTATGCATGGCTCATGGATGGACCAGTAGATATCCTGCAAAAGCTTGTGATCGATCTCCCTTCAAGTAATTTGTGCATCTTGTGATGTCCTCATCTCCCATCACTTGCCACTCACCAACAATTTTCCATGGCCAAAATGTTCCTTTTACTTGTCAGTCAGCCAAATTCTTCAATGAACAGACATTCATCAGCCATCCCTCAGCCAATTTTTTTTCATGACAAAATGTTTACATCAACCAGATCCAATCAATTAAGTATGTACCCCTACAAAGTAGCCTGGCCTAACAGGTGTGGCCCTACAAGATACCAAAACTTGACTTATGCTTGATGATGTCACAAAGCTAGTAAGTCATGATGTGTCCCTGAACATGCTAGGTGAGCATCGACATATTTCATGCCATTAGTGCCTCCACCATTCCTTGCTTGGATGTGGCAGATCTGGCCAGAGCAAAGATTATTTACCCTCAGCTGTATTCTGATGGCTGAGAG